ATTAAAGATCTAAATATTAAAACAGAAACACTAAACTTGCTGGAAGATAAGTTAGGTAGAACTCTTTGAAGACATTGACACAGGAAAAGACTTTATGGACAAATTCTCAGTAGCACGGGAACTAGCAGAAAGAATCAACAACTGGGATCTCATCTTTTTAAAAAGCTTCTGCACTGCAAAAGAAACCATCAACAGAACTAAGAGACAGCCTACAATGTGGGAAAAAAATTTTTACCAGCTGCTCCTCAAAGGACTATTATCTAAAATATATAAAGAACTCAAAACAATCAGAACACCCAAATATAAAGACACAATTTAAAAATGGGCATCTGAAATGAAGGCATTTCCCAGACAAAGAAGTAAAAGCAGCAAGGAAATATATGAAAAAATGTTCCACATCACTGGTCATTCAAGAGATGCAGATGAAAACAACACTGAGATTCCACCTCACCCCACAAAGAATGGCTGCTATCAAGAAATCAAGCAATAACAAATGTTGGCGGGGTTGTGGGGAGAAAGGAGCCCTTCTCCATTGTTGGTGGGAGTGCAGACTGATGCAACCTCTATGGAAATCAATATGGAGATACCTCAAAGAGCTGGGACTAGAGGTTCCATTTGACCCAGCCATCCCTCCGCTGGGTATCTTTCCAAGAGAACTAAAAGAATCATATCACAGAGAAGTATGCACACCCATGTTTATAGCAGCACAGTTTGTAATAGCTAAAACTTGGAAACAGCGCATTTGCCCATCAGTTGGAAACTGGATAAAGAAGATGTGGGTTTTCTATAAAATGGAATACTACTCAGCCAGAAAGAATGATAAATTAGAGTCATTCATAGGAAAATGGATGCATATTGAGGATATACTCCTAAGTGAAATAAATAAGTCACACATGTGTAAATAGTTTCTCTGGTGTGAAAAACTATAATAGTACATAAGATGCTAATGAGATAATTGACAATGTGAAATAGGAAGAAAAGGACTAAAGGTGTAGGGAAAGTGGGAAGGGTAGGGGAAAGGTAATAAGGGAAAAGAAAAAAATATGAAAAAATGGAAATAAAGTGTTTGTAAGTGGGGAGGGGAAGAGAGGGTAAAGGGAAGGCAAGGACAAGGGAAGGCAGGGACAAGGGGGAAAAATGAGAACCAAGACCTGTCATGTAAATGTACAAGATCCCAGTAATGAATGTAACTGTACTGTATACCTAGAATGTACCAATAAAAAGAAAAAAGAAATGCTCCTCCTTGAAGGCAGGTGGGGGATGTGGAGGAGGACAGACAGCATGATCAGGCCTGTCTTCATTTGACTTCTCTTTCTTGGTAGATAATCTCAGATATAAAAAGGTGGAACACTGTCTTAGGTCAAATTCTAACCCTAGGCTGTTCTAAAGTTTATTTCTGGGTATTACCAAATCCTAGCCACATCCAACATTGAACAAAATTAGGGTAATTTGCATGGTACCGAGAACAACCTCTAATCTTCCAGGTATCCTGCTCTGCCTGGCTGGGCACAACTCTTCAGAGGTCTTAGCCAATCTGCATCTGCTGCAGAGGGAGTGTGGGCTTCAGTCATGAGTCAATATTTCTCTCTTCCTGAGCATTTTACTCTTCAAATTTGCGCAAATTAACTCTGTAATCATGGTCCTCAGAGAACTATCCCTTCATCCCTTGGCCATGAAGGACTTTTATGGCATAATAATTTGAGTATTTAAACAATGAACAAAGATCTGCAGTCAGCACACAGTTCTGGTTCTGACTCTAAAAACAAACTTGATAAGGAAGAATCAAAAGAAGAACTCAGTATTCTATACAGAACAAAAAGAACAGAATGACAAGAGAGGGAAAAAAATCATACATGTACTTCAAAAGTATGAAAAAGTGACAAAGAATTTTCAGGTTAAGTAATGTATTTACTGATTAAAAACAGATTTTGCAGCTAGAATGTATGAACATAGTTAAGTGTCATAGGTCTCCTTCAGCTAATCAAATTTTAAAAAGCTAATCAAACCTAACATCACATAAGCAATGGAGATCCCAAGCCAGGGCTGGGCCCAGACCTCCCAATATCTGATTCAGCTCCCTTTTGGCCAAGGACAAGCCCTCCCTCAACTCTTTCTCCAGAGAAAAGACCTTCAGGGCCTTCTGCAACCCATCCTATGCTAAGTTTTCAGCCTCCCAGCCAGAAGACTTTTCTAATTTTTCTCAGAAACTCCCTGGAAAGAAAGCCCTCAGGATTACCAATAACCTGCTCTCTGCACCCCTCTCCAAAGCACCTGCCTTTGGGTGAAGTATTGAGAGAAGTTCTCAGCTCCCACTTCCTACAACTGTAGGCAATTTTGATGAACTGCTTAACATGTTCTCTAACTACAGGCTGGGATTTTTCTCTACCTCTTAGAAAAAACATATTCCAACCCACATGATCTGGACAGCTGCACTTTCCTGACCCTGTGACCTCAAACTTGGCCTTATTCAAACCTCCTGACTAGACCCAACATGATGAAATATATGGCACAATCTGTCCCATGTCCCTACCTTCTGAGATTCAGAGTGAGTTTGCTTAGGAACGGTGTTCTGTCCACCACACATAACTGCTTGCAATCCAAGCCAGTAGCCGTAGCATGTTATTTCCAGAAGCCAACATAATAGGTATTCTGGACTAAAAACAAAACCACACACCTTACATAGCCAGACAAATCCTGAGTTAGACGAATGAGCAACATAACCACTAATAGCATAGCAAACACATTATATGCACTTGCAGGAATACAACTTAAGAAATAAAGAAAGAGAAAAACAACATTAAATGTAATTTGTTTTCAACTTTCCTTCAGAGTTGATGAGCCAATGGTTCTCTCCTTTGAAGAGGGAAACTCTCAAGAAAGAGGGATTTGGCAAGAAGCCCCAGGGAAGGGGCCACACAAGGAAAGGAGAGTCCTGAGTAAACTGATTAAAGAAAGCTCACCTAATCCAAGACGTGAGTGCCATGGATAACAAGTGTAGTCAAAGACGCTGCTGTGGCAGAGGCCATTTTTCTTGTAACTTGTCACTTCAACCACTTGGGACGTGCGATGCACATTAGATTTCCAGGCACCCAGGCATCTCTTGGCTTTTGGGACTCAAGAAGTTGTCTGAAACTATAGAAATTTGCTACAGGAGGGCCAGGGATTTAACTCAGTGGTTCTGGTGCCTGCCTCACAAGCACAAGGGCCCAAGTTTGATCCCCAGTACCAAAAAAAAAGTACACATTTGGCCAGGCATTGTGGCATATGCCTGTAATCCCAGCACTCGGGAGGCTGAGGCAGGAGAATTACCGTGAGTTTGAGACCAGCCCAGGCTACATAAGTGAGTTCCAGGTCAGTCGCAACTACATAGTGAGACCCTGTCTCAAAAAACCAAAAAGAAATTTGCTACAGGCAGGAACAGGCTCAGCCCTAAAAGGAGGAAGGGTTCATGGTTCTAGCACTGAATTGGGTGGGATAGGAATCAGCAAGGGAATGATCTAGGCTCCTGAACTGCAAAAATTCAGTGCCAATAGTCATTCCATATGGATCCTTAGAGTCCCAAGCAGGAAGGACTAAACTCCAGCTGCCCACAGTAATGAACAGTGTGGTGATGCATTCTTGGTTACCTTTTGTTATTTTCCCATCTCACTCTTCCTTCTCTCTTAGTCAAACATGCTGAAATAAATTAGGTCTAACTAAACGCTTCTCTCAGGGATTTTTTTTTTTCAAATGCAAAATTCCATCTAAAACATAAGTGAATTGCATTGAAATGTGTCCTCCAAAAATTTAGTTCTACTCAGAATTGTGAATGTGACACCATTTGGAAAGAGGGGCTAGGTACTTACAATCGAGTTAGATGAGGTCACGTTGGATTAGGATGGGTCCTAAGCTGGTGACTGGTATCCCTTAAAGAAGAGGGAAATTGGGACACAAAGACACACTGAGAAGATCACCATGTGATGACACATGCAGAGATTACAACAGTGCAGTCAAAAGCCAAGGAGTGAGAAGTACCAGCAGTGTAATAACCTTAGGTCAAAAATGTTTCACCAGGGATTTAGCTCAGTGGTTCGGTGGCCTGCCTCACAAGCGCAAGGACCCGAGTTCGATCCCCAGTACCAAAAAAAAAAAAAACAATGTTTCCCCAAAAGCTCTTGTTTTGAGTGGTGGGGCTTTTGGAAGGTTATTTTCCTGCCTTAGCCCGAGAAGTGCTCAACAACCTAAGCATAAGTGAGTAGGTCACTCAATGGTAACAGACTAAACAAGGACTCGTTCTGATCCTTGATCCAGTGAATTTTTGATTTCCCAAATCAAAATTGATTTCCCCCAGCAAAGAGAAACATAAAGAATATTTACATTTAAAGAAGGTATTCTAATCATTTTCAAAACTACTAGGATATAATAATGCTAAAAGAAGAAATTGTTTTGCTATGAGATGTACTTGGATATGTTCAAATTCACATATTCCTAGAGCAAGTCCAGCCTTGATGTCATATTACCAAGCCAACTTCACCTCCAGATTTACCATCTTGTGCTCTAAGGTCAGTTTTTCAGTCCACTCCAGACAATTATCAGCTTTTAATGGGCTGGATAACAGTGCCTTTCACCTTTGGTACTAGCATGCTAAATAACTGTTCACATTCTTACAAGGATAAAAGCAGGCCTGAGAGCTATGAGAAGGAGCCATTCTTGGTTTAGATCAGACACGGGGGTGTTTCTAGGGTCTCTGCCCTTCTACCAGCTTTAACCACAGCCTTGATATCCTCCATCTCTTGGGCTTGCTGTGCCTTGTGACTGAGCCACAGAGATGATAGTGGTAACAGTGTCATTTTTTCACCTAAACCAATCCAGAGAGCATCCACAAGCCTGCCTAGAGGGATGACACCATATAAACCAGAGGAGCACAGGTCTAAGACATCAGTGAGGTCACATAGCTTGTACCCACTTCATCCTGCTGCAGGGGCTCTTTCTTCTCTGACCTGGGCAGCCTTGCTGGAAAGATGCCACCACTCCTACTCCTGCTGACCTTTCTTCTGCCCCCTGAGGCTGGGACAGGTGAGTGACTTTCCCTAAGTCCATCCCAAAAGATCCTCTCTACTACTGACTTTTCTGCCAGCTTTGGTCAAGATTTATCCTCACTCTGAGCCTGGAGTTTTCTGATCCCATGTGCCTATCCCAAACCAGGACTTACAAACCTGAAGCTGGGTAGACACAAATATGGTAGAAGGAAGGTGTACCTATATGATTTATTAGGTTTTGGCCTCACCACAGAACTTTCTTCATTATCTAGAGTGAGTTGTCCTTAAAGCAACATCTGGCAGGAAATGTGAAGCTAAAAAATGGCTTTAATTAAACTCCATCACTCAAAACCAGAAAAAGGCACCCAAAAATCAATAGCCTTCTTGTACACAAATAACAGACTCACTGAGAGAGAAATTAGGGAAACAATTCCTTTCACAACAGCATCCAAAAAAATGAAGTATCTAGGAATCAATCTAACAAAAGAAGCAAAAGACCTCTGGGCTAGGGATTTGGTTCAGTGACTCTGCCGCCTGCCTCCTAAGCACAAGGTGCTCAAGTTCGATCCCAGGGACCATTAAAACAAAGCAAAAAAAAACAAAAGACCTCTATACTGAGAACTACAGAACTCTGAAAAAAGAGATCTAAGAAGGTATAAGAAAATGGAAAGATATCCCCTGCTCCTGGGTAGGAAGAATCAACATAGTAAAAATGGCCATACTACCAAAACTGCTATACAGATTCAGTGCAATGTCAATTGAAATTCCAATACTATATTTCACAGAACTAGAAAAAAGAATCCAAAAATTCATTTGGAACCAGAAGAGACCTAGAACAGCAAAAGCCATCCTAGGCAAAAGACACATGGCAGCAGGTATAACAATTCCCAATTTGAAGCTATACTACAAAGCCACAGCATGGTACTGGCAAAGAAACAGGCCTGAGGATCAGTGGAACAGATTGGAAGACACAAAAACAACTCCACATGTACTCGGCTACCTCATCTTTGACAAAGGAGCTGACCATCCCCACAGGAGGAAGGATGGCCACTTTAATAAATGGTGTTGGAAAAACTGGATCTCAACATGCCAAAGATTCAAACTGGACCCTTATCTTAAACCATGCACTAAATTAAAATCAAAGTGGATTAAAGATCTAAATATTAAAACAGACACACTAAACTTGCTGGAAGATAAATTAGGCAGAACTTTGGAAGACATTGGCATAAGAAAAGACTTTATGAACAAATCCTCACTAACTCAGAAACTAGCACAATGAATCAACAACTGGGATCTCATCTTCTTAAAAAGCTTCTGCACTGCAAAAGAAACCATCAACAGAACTAAGAGACAACCTACAATGTGGGAAAAAAATTTTACCAGATGCTCCTCAGACAAAGGACTATTATCTAAAATATATAAAGAATTCAAAACAATCAGACCCCCCAAATATAAAAACACAATTTAAAAATGGGCATCTGAAATGAAGACATTCCTCAGACAAAGAAGTAAAAGCAGCAAGGAAATATATGAAAAAATGTTCCACATCACTGCTCATTCAAGAGATGCAGATGAAAACAACACTGAGATTCCACCTCACCCCACAAAGAATGGCTGCTATCAAGAAATCACACAATAGCAAATGTTGGCGGGGTTGTGGGGAGAAAGGAACCCTTCTCCATTGTTGGTGGGAGTGCAGACTGATGCAACCTCTATGGAAATCAATATGGAGATACCTCAAAGAGCTGGGACTAGAGGTTCCATTTGACCCAGCCATCCCTCTGCTGGGTATCTTTCCAAAAGAATTAAAAGAATCATATCACAGTGACATATGTGCACCTATGTTTATAGCAGCACAGTTTGCAATAGCTAAAACTTGGAAACAGCGCATTTGCCCATCAGTTGGAAACTGGATAAAGAAGATGTGGGTTTTCTATAAAATGGAATACTACTCAGCCAGAAAGAATGATAAATTAGAGTCATTCATAGGGAAATGGATACATATTGAGGATATACTCCTAAGTGAAATAAATAAGTCACAGGTGTAAATACTGAATAGTTTCTCTGGTGTGAAAAATTATAATAGTACACAAGATCCTAATGGGGTAATTAACAATGTGAAATAGGAAGAAAAGGGCCAAAGGTGTAGGGAAAGTGGAAAGGGTAGGGGAAAGGGAATAAGGGAAAAGAAAAAAATATGAAAAATGGAAATAAAGTGTTTGTAAATGGGGAGGGGAGGAGGGGGTGAAGGGAAGGCAAGGATAAGGGAAGGCAGGGACAAGGGGAAAAAATGAGAATCAAGACCTGTCATGTAAAGGTACAAGAGCCCAATGATGAATGTAACTGCACTGTATCCCTAAAATGTACCAATAAACTGAGTGAGAAAAAAAAAACAGAAAAAAGGAACTGGGACAAACAGGCTGTGGGGGAGGACCTGTCAGGGGACCCAGTTTATGAGCCAATTAATTGCATTATTCCGTGCCCTCCATCCTTCACCCCACCTCAAGTGAGAAGCCCAAGGTGCAGCAGGGCTCCAAAGTGACAAAATGACTGATCTCCCGTTCTATTGTCATGGGTACACGACAGATCTTTGCAGTTTCATTTTAAGAGTCTTCTCTACTTCTGCCTTGCTGAGACTCCCAGTTGCTCCCTCCTCCAAAATTTCTATGGCCCTGAATCCCACTACCACTGCCTCAGTGGTAGGACGGATCAGAGGATCATTTGAGACCAGTCATTCATGTGGCTAAAAATAGAACTCAGATGGTGTTAGGCCCAGAACATCAGGATTTTAGAAAATCCAACTCCATAAACTTCATGAACTCATAAGTAGATTGTTAGAAAGTGCAGCCAATCAGGAAATTAGTAGAAACTGAAAGAGGGTTGAAAGATGTAGGAAGAAATTAGAAACCGAGGCATGCTGCCAATGTCTCCTGGAACTCTACCATGCAGCAGACCTTATGTCCTCCACACAGGTGTCCGAAGTAGGCGGGAGAAGACAAGCACTGTCCTCCCTTTCTCAGAACAGGGATATAAGGCTTGGGGATCAGCAAAGGTTACTCTGCCTGCAAGGAGTGCAGCCCGCAGAACCTAACAGGACTCTCCCCCGCTGTCCGCAGAGCGCTCCACACCCCACCCTCAACCCCACTTCCCTCCGCCTGCCCTCCTGACCATGCCGCTCCCGCGCACCCCACCTCCCACCCCTTTCAGAGGAGATCATCGGGGGTCACGAGGCCAAGCCCCACTCCCGCCCCTACATGGCATTGGTCCTGTTTACCTCTGGCGAGAAGAGGAGCTGTGGTGGTGTCCTGGTGCAAGAGGGATTTGTGCTGACTGCTGCTCACTGCGAGGGAAGGTGAGGAGCAGCCCCAGCCACGCTTCCTGAGACCCCAGCGGGGACCTCTGTCCTCCACGGGGGCTGCAGCCTGTAGGAGCTCCTGGGTGCTGCTGGTGCACGGGCCGTGAGAGCTCGTCAGAAAGCAGGAAAGGCTGGAGGATCAAAAGTTTCACCCCGTATGTCGTCTGTATATATGATAATTAAATTTATAGGGTCTTGTAAGGTAAATAAACAAAACAGGGTGAAAAAATAAAAAGAGGAGGAGAGAAGGAAAAGAATGAAATTGAAGGGTGGTATGTACATGAACCAGTCTCATACAGTGAATAGAATCATTACATACTGCAAACATGTAGTAATAAAAGTGAAAAAAAAAGTTTCGGCCCCATCTGGGCAAGTTAGCTCCGTCGTGAGTTGCTGCAGCAAAAATAAAAGCAAATTTTAAATGTTGGGGGTGTACATTAGTGCACAGGTTCTGAGTTCAACTTCCATTATCTTCAGGAAGGAAGGGAGACTTGGAAAATGGTGGCTGACAAACAGGCTAGGTAAGCTTTGGGTCAGAGGGCAAGAGTGCAGAAGAAGTGGCACAGGTGAGAAGACTCAGGGACCACACTACCAGGTAAAGCAGCTGAGCCCGCTCCTCATAGCTCCTGGGGGTGGGGGCATCCTCGGTGGCCCCACATCCCAAACCTGCTCTCCCGTCTGTGCAGCTCAGTGAAAGTCATCCTGGGGGCCCACAACATCAAGAGACCAGAGAAGACCCAGGAGGTCATCCGTGTGAGAAAAGCCACCCCACACCCAGACTTTGTTCATAAAACCTTATCCAATGACATCCTGCTGCTGCAGGTAAGACGCACCTTCCTGCTGCACTTGGTGTCCTTGTGCAGGCTGCCCCTTTCACTTAAGACTCATCCCCTCCTTCTTTGTCATTTTGGCCATCACAGCGTCCAGGCCTAGCAGGCACAGGCTGATCTGGTCTCTTCTTTCCCATCATCTGGAGAAAAAGGCCACACTGACTAAAGCTGTGCAGCCCCTCAGGCTGCCCATGGGCAATACCGAGGTGAGGCCTGTGGCCCTGTGCCACGTGGCTGGATGGAGACGGCTGGGCCCAGAGGGGGTATATCCAAGCACACTGCAGGAGGTGGAGGTGACAGTGCAGAAGGATGAGAAGTGTCAGACCTGCTTTAAAAGGTTTTACAACAGTGCCACCCAGATGTGTGTGCCTTCAAGGTAAGAATGGGCATCTGTCACTCTTTATTTAGGGGAAAGGGTATTTGGGACAGAATGGGGAACAGGAGAACCAAGCAGCAGAGGACTCCTTCACCTACTGGGCTGTGATGTTTCTACACATAGCCTGAGATGAGAAGGAAGTAAGGTCTCTACCACTTACCAAGGCGCCTCTGGTGAATAGTGCCCCTCTGGAAGCGTGAGTTTGCAACACTGCATTAGAAACAGGCATTACAAAACAGTTCCTCTCTGAGTGCAGGAATTATGACCAGGTGGCTTGTCGGAGCCAGCATCCCTCTTGGTCGGTGGGCTCATTCTCCCTGCTGGGTGTCCGGCCCACTCATCTGCCTCTGCACCCTTAAACAGTAGCCTGAAACCAATGGTCCCACACAACTCTATAGGGAGAAGAACCCAAGAAACGAGGGTGAGGACAAAGGCTGACGCCCAGAGTGAGGTAAAGTAATAACAGTGTCCACAGACAGAGCTTGGCAGTTAAGGACCCCCGGTGCCTGTTTTTTCCTCTAATCTGCACAAGCAGACTATACAAGTAGTAGGTCAGGGTGTCTTGGAGACATCAGATGAGACAAGTCCAGGAGGTGCACTGGCTCACCTCCTCCCTCTCTACTTGCAGGGCGACTCTGGAGGCCCTCTCGTGTAATAATGTGTTCCAGGCCATGGTCTCCTATGGAAAAAGGAATGGGAACCCTCCACAGGTCTTCCCCGAAGTCTCACCATTTTTACACTGGATAAAAGAAATCATGAAACACCACTGACTGCAGGGAACAAAATAACCCCCATGTGACCAAACATCTTTCTTGGAGCTGAGTCCAGAATTGAACTAGAACAAATGCCAGCAACTAAATAAATAGCTCAGTAAGAAGGCTGGTCACTTGTCCATTCGCCGACTTTCTTTCACATGGAATCACTCTGTGCTCGGCAGGACAGTGACGCAGTTCTGCTGATTTCTGCCTCCTCTCTTTCATCTCCACGCAATACCTTTCCAAATCCCCACTCAAAGCTCTTCAAACTTCTTCAGTTTAGCACATTAGCTGCTCCAGATCCTGATCCTCTGTGAGAGCTGAGGCTAAGCAGCATCACAAGAAATTTTGGACAGCTCTTGTCCTGGGGGTCAGGGTGAACACGTTGCCCTTTTTATGTGTTACATGGTAAAGGCCACAGGAGATAAATACATGGGTCCTGGAGATCAGTCAGGCACCACTAAAGTCACCACTTAGGAACACAGACACGTAGCAATGGATAAGGGAGGGGTCTTCCGCAGCAGCACATTTCTGTCCTGCAGCTTTAGGAATAAACACAAGGTTGAGGGCATCCCAAGTGGCTCTTCATCCCCACCTGAAACTTGTTTCTTTCCACTTTCTCTTCTAAGACAAAGGCTAACCTTGGTTTACAGCCCCCTGGCTGCCCTTTCTTCCTCATCTACCCTCAGTGTTGTCACAGTCTAACAACTCCTGTCCTCTGGGCCATAATTATTCCATGTGGTTCTTTTCTCAAATCTCCCCAGGTAGGACACATGTGGTTCCATGCAAGGACCTTGCAAGGTTCCATGGAGGACAAGGCTGGCAGGATCTTTCTCCAGAACCCTTGGCCCCACCTCTCATTTGGGCAGAGCCCCTCACCATTAAGTGTCCTCCGAAATGCTCAAGGGCCACTGGTCACTGAGTGATCTGAGCCCCTTTCAGCCTATCCCTGATGATCAATGCTGGCCTCAAAGCTAAGACTCCCTGGGGAATTCTAGGCTATACAAAGCTTGCAAGTTAAAAGAGCTCTTCCTTGCACAAGGACCAGAAAGTATAATGCTTTCCATTAGTCAGCACACAAATACTCTCTGAGAGTTTACTATGTGCCAGGCCTAAGGGATCTACAATGAAAAAAATAAGAAAGCCCAGTGAAACTGACAGTGTTAAACACGTCCCCAGTTAAGTCCCTCTCTGTTATTCTGATTGGTCCATAAGGCCTAGATCTGTTTGAAAAATGCATGGAAAAAAAATCTTTTTATTTCTAGTTACAGTTTGTATTACTCTTACCACATGACACTCTAGAAGTGTATGACATTTAGAAATGACCTTAGTCATTTATTTCCCAAATGTAAAGTTGGTAAATGATTCACCAGAGGACCTTTTTCTGTGGGGAACCGGACAGCAAGTAGCTAAAATAATGATCACAGTCCTATTTTCATTTATTTTAAAAGTAGCAGATATGAATGTCATTGTACAAAATGAAATTGTATGAAGTACACATGTGTAATCAGCCTATTATAATTCATAGTCGTGTCAATGCTACAGTGCCTGCCTCTGCCAAATCAAACTTGGATCAAGGAGGCTGCCATAGTATGAGCAAAACCGCCTATACCATTTAGGTCATCATGGCTATCGCTGCATCCATAGTTTCTAATGTTACCCAAGCTTCTCTCTGTTGGGAAGATCTAGGCTTGGAGGACACAAAATAATGTGTAGGGCTTTGTTAAATGACTGTTTTTCTTGGAGCTGGGCTCACCTTGTTGAACACTCCAGGCAACGCTTGCTGCACAGTCAGGTCAGTGCAAGGTGACAGTGCATGGAGGAATTTGGCTCTAAGTTAATGCTTCTCTTTCCCAAGTATAAACAACACTTCATTCTTTTATGGCAGAGTAAAATCTCCCTCTGAGATCCTGTAATTCCCACTGGCATACCCTTTGCCATCTTGTGCACAAATGATGCTACATTGCAATCTCATAATTATTTTGGGCTGCTTTACAAGGGAAGATTTGCTTCTGAATTAAGGCTGCAAACAAAAAATGCTGCATATAAGACAAACTAAGGATCTCGCTCCTTCCTTAGAAAAAAAAAGGAAAATGCAGAAAGCAAAACCAAAAAATAATTTAGAAAGTTTCCCAGTCATGCACATATATAGTCAAGTGTTACGTTTACTTTGAGGAAATGGATGTGTAGTTTAATACATCATTGAAAAATCATTGTTTTAGGTTGGACCCCCAAAGTAGAGAAAGAAACAGATTTTCCAGGAAAAGACACAGACTGACCAAAAGTACAGCAAAACTGGGACAGAGCCTCAACTGAGTCAGGTCCCTTAACCACCATCAAGTGGCGTTCCTCTTCTAACTCCCAGACTGAGGTGATTTTCCAGCATCTCCAGACAAAACATAACATACTGTTTAGATATTTCCATGGAGAGAATGCCTCTGAGCTCCTCCTGCAGCTATTGGGTAAGAAGCTTTCACACAGCCACACTTTGCAGAGTAGAAATCTCCTCATAGCCACGTGTGAGTGGACTCAGAGGCATGTAACTGCCTTCAACACACTGATTCCTTCCATCTCCCTGGTATGTGAAAGTACTTCCCAATCATCACCATTTTGGGGAAAAATATATTCTCTTTCTTAAAACTTTTGTAATGGAAATAAAATGCTTCAAGACAGCAAGATTGACTCCTTCTCTCTCTCTCTCTCCTTCCTCCTGGCGCCCTGGAAGAATCAAGTTCTGGTATCACACGGGAGACAACTGCAGGTTAGACCCTGGAGGATGTACCCCAAACGGGTGCAAGATCTTGCTAACTTGTTTTGGGGAATATATATTGGTGTGACTCTGTTTTCCCATCCCAAGAGCATAGTTCTGCCAGAACCACTCTTTTGGACCTATAGAACATATATGTTTTCTTTCCTGCTTTTATATTCCGCATAAGGCTGCTTTGACCAATGCACAAATATCACCATGAGAGATGTGGAGAAATAGGTTTGTGTGTCATATCAACCAGAAGCAGTGGGGCTGAGATTGTAGAATAACTTACTGAAGACTACATAACAACAACAAGCTGAAAGACAATTGGGAAGCTGTCCTATGGAATATAGCATGCACTTTAAGCCACCAATGAAGATATGATATTTTCTCTCCACAGATGGAATATTGCTCCAGAATTAAAAGGCTATTGAACAGATTACTCCCTAAATTATTACACCTAATTACTCACCCTCAAGAGCTTTTACCTCCATCACCACAATCTGGTCTATCTGTCTTAATTCCTGAAAAAACATTCAGCCGTCATCAGCTCAAGTGAGCCAATAAAATAGGTAGATGATTGATCCTGATGTCTAAGAAAAGATAGGATTCACTGAATTGCCTCATAGTGACAGTAAGTGAAAGTCAATGGAGGACTCTCAGAATGATATCCTGACCTCATCGAGCTGCCCTGCTAGGACAACTGGGTTGAAATCTACCTATTCGTGTCATTGACTGTCTACACGGAAGATAGTTGAAGTTTACATTTGGACATAGATGTGAATTGTATCTCCCACTTTTCTTGACATAATATTTAAAGATTCTTAGCCTGTTTCTTATCTTCAAGTGAAGTTAATAAAAAGCAGCTCCCATACAGGGCTGTTATACAACATAGCATATGTAAAGTAGCTGGTGTGTCCTCTGCAGCATAGCAAGAAATAAATAAATAATAATTCCCATTGCTTTTCTCGGTGCTGTTTTTCCATACCAGGATTCATGCAATCAGTCTAGGAAATCTACATAAAAGAAATTATTTCAGGATAATAACACTCATATTTTTTATATTTAAAGTTTTCATAAGCATTGTCTCATTTTGTCTTAGTATAATATGGAATTGAAAATTATGTGTAGACTTTCTGGTCTGAAAGTTTCCCAACCTGTACTCAATGGAACCCACAGGCAAGTGAAGAGAGGGGTCAGGAAGGAAAAACACAACGGGAGAAGTCATTACTTAATGGCTTACATCTGGTGAATCCTAGGGAGTAGAAGGTTTAGTGCAAATTCTAACTTGGAAGGCATACCACCTGCTATTAGAATTTTTAAATAGCATTACATGTGAAGAATCTCATGTGTTACCAGAAAGATGGAAAACGTCTTCTAACCCACAGACTATAACAGTTAATGTGACAGTCTTAATTTCAAAGCCCACGGTGACCCTTCAAAGTCAGACAGTTCGTACTTTGGAGGCCACACTTGTGGTATGATGTTATTCATTGATATTAGATCCCCCTGTTCTTGGGCCAGTCTTGGCCCAAGCATATCCAGAAGTCATTCCTTGCCAGTCTTGAGACCAATCTAGTGTTGTGGTTGCAGTCAGGTGTGGTTACAGCTGTGTACAAATACCTGTCCTCCAAAATACTCACACATCACCAATAGAAAACAATTTTTCTTGATAGGGAAATGCTTCCTCTAGGTTCCTGCCACCCTCACATCTTGGTGCTCATGAAGATCCTTGTAGCAGAATATCTTAATGATCATAGCCATCTTTATAATGAGGGGAAAGCAGTTGACTTCAGAACTTCTCAAGTGGTAAGATTACACCTGAGACAAAGACTTCCAAGATCATGCTGGGAAAAGAAAAAGTAAGGACATCGAAGTAAACAAAATCTTGTAACAATAATGCAGGTAAACACACGCAAATATAAATGTACATGAGTGTTTAAAAAAACATGTTAAATAAGCAGATATTTGGGAGAATACATATGTAAAAGTATAGATGTACGGTTAGGTATAAAAATATAAACAGAGATACTGTATATAGAAATGAAAAAACATAATTATTTCAATAAGCTACATTGACATACATATAATCAATTTTAAATTATTTTGTCGTTAAACACATTTTAAAACCTTTATTATACCCCACAGCTCCTCTAACAGATGAGATCATGAAGCCCAAAATAGGTAACTGAGCCATACAACTAAAGAGAAGATCAGAATTCCCAATCCCTGGATCAGACCTCTTCCAGCTGAGAGACAGACTCAGAGCTGCATGTGATCTCTTTCTTTCTTTTTCTTTCTTTCTTTCTTTCTTTCTTTCTTTCTTTCTTTCTTTCTTTCTTGGTACATTTTAGGTATACATTACAGTTATGTATATCATTGGGATCTTGTACCTATACATGATATATCTTGGTTCTTATATTTTCCCCAGTCCCGAGGCCTCCCTTCACCCCCTCCACCCTTTCCTATTTACAAAGACTTTGTTTCCATTTGTTTCCTTTTCTCTTATTTTTTTTTCTTTTCCTGTCTCACCTTTCCCCACCCCTCCCATGTCCTCTACACCTTTTTTTCCTATTACCCAATATCAATTATACATTTTGATCCATTTTTACACTTTTAGTTTATCACACCAGAGAAACTATTTGGAATTTAATTTGGTGTGCCCTATTAATTTCACTTAAGAGTATGACCTCAATGTGCATCCACTTAGCTATAAATGTCTCTTAGTTTCTTGTTTTTTATGGCTGAGTAGTACTGCATTCTATAAAATACACACACACACACACACACACACATCTTCATTATCCAGTCTCCAGTTGATAAGCAGTTAGGCTGTTTCCAACTTTTAGCTATTACAAATTCTACCACTATAAATATAGGTGAGCGTATATCACTGTGATATGATTCTTTTAATTCTTTTGGAAAGATACCCAGCAGGGGAATAGCTAGGTCTTAAAGGGACTTCTGATCTCAGCTGTTTACGGCATCTCTGTTTTGATTTCCATAGTGGTTGCACCAGTCTGCACTCCCACCAACAATGGAGAAGGGTTCCTTTCTCCCCACAACCCCCCCAACATTTGTTATTGGTTGATTTCTCGAGCAGCCATTCTTTCTGGGGTGAGGTAGAATCTCAGTATTGTTTTCATCTGCATCTCTTGATCGACCAGTGATGTTGAACAATTTTTCATGTGTTTATTCACTGCTTTTACTTCTTTGTTTGAGAAATGTTACATCATATAAAGGTACAAGATCCCAATGATGAATGTCACTCTATGATATGCCTAAACTTTACCAATAAACTTAATGGGAAAAATACAAGGCCATAATGGCGGTAAAACAAGAAGTTGTGTTACTATCGGGTGGACATGGATGTGTCCAAATTCACATATTCCTAGTGCAAGTGCAGCCTTGATGTCATATTACCAAGCCAACTTCACCACCATGTTTACCATCTTGTTCTCTAAGAGATTTTCAGTACACCTCAGAAAATTATCAGCTTTTTGTGACTGTATTTTTGCGCTTTTCATCCTTAGTTCTAGCATGCTAAATAACTGTTCACAATCTTACCAGAATAAAAACAGGCCCCAGAGCTATGAGAAGGAGCCATTCTTGGTTTAGATCAGACACGGGGGTGTTTCTAGGGTCTCTGCCCTTCTACCAGCTTTAACCACAGCCTCGATATCCTCCATCTCTTGGGCTTGCTGTGCCTTGTGACTGAGCCACAGAGATGATAGTGGTAACAGTGTCATTTTTTCACCTAAACCAATCCAGAGAGCATCCACAAGCCTGCCTAGAGGGATGACACCATATAAACCAGAGGAGCACAGGTCTAAGACATCAGTGAGGTCACGGAGCTTGGGCCCACTTCATCCTGCTGCAGGGGCTCTTTCTTCTCTGACCTGAGCAGCCTTGCTGGAAAGATGCCACCACTCCTACTCCTGCTGACCTTTCTTCTGCCCCCTGAGGCTGGGACAGGTGAGTGACTTTCCCTAAGTCCATCCCAAAAGATCCTCTCTACTACTGACTTTTCTGCCAGCTTTGGTCAAGATTTATCCTCACTCTGAGCCTGGAGTTTTCTGACCCCCAGCTCCTATCCAGCTCCTATCATACTTACAAACCTGAAGTTACCTAGACACTCTCAAATATGGCAGGAGGGTGTCCCCATATAAATTAATAGGTGTTAGCCTCTCCATAGAAGTTTCTTCATTATCTAGAAAGTGAGTTGTCCTTAAAAACCAGTATCACTCAGGAATGTGAAGCTACAAAAAGGACGTAATTAAACTCTGTCACTCAAAACCAGAAAAGGGGAGCTCAGACCAACAGGCTGCAAGGGAGGATCCAATTTAAGTTGCTTTATTCAATGTTCTTCACCCTTCACCCTGCCCCAGAGAGAAGCCCAGGGTGCAGAGGGTCTCAGAAGTAGCAAGATGATTGATCCTCTTTTATATTGCCTATGGCCACCCTAGGTCTAAGCAGGTTCATTTTCTCTACTTCTGCCTTGCCAAGACTCTCAGTTGCTCCCTGTCTTGGGTACCATCCTCTTCCAAATTTTCTATGCCCTAAATCCCAGCACTGCCCCACCAAAAACTGATCAGAGACTGATTGGAGACCAGTCATTCGTGCAGCTAAACACATTTAATGAGAACTTAGAATGTGGTAGGCTCAGGATTCAGCATTTTGTAAACTCCAACTTCATCAACTCATGGATAGATTGTTAGAAAGTGCTGTCAATCAGGAAATTAGCAGAAGCTCAAAGAGGTAGGAAAGGCTCATCATGCAGCAGACCTTATGTCCTCCACACAGGTGTCCGAAGTAGGCGGGAGAAGACAAGCACTGTCCTTCCTTTCTCAGAACAGGGATATAAGGCTTGGGGATCAGCAAAGGTTACTCTGCCTGCAAGGAGTGCAGCCCGCAGAACCTAACAGGACTCTCCCCCGCTGTCCGCAGAGCGCTCCACACCCCACCCTCAACCCCACTTCCCTCCGCCTGCCCTCCTGACCATGCCGCTCCCGCGCACCCCACCTCCCACCCCTTTCAGAGGAGATCATCGGGGGTCACGAGGCCAAGCCCCACTCCCGCCCCTACATGGCATTGGTCCTGTTTACCTCTGGCGAGAAGAGGAGCTGTGGTGGTGTCCTGGTGCAAGAGGGATTTGTGCTGACTGCTGCTCACTGCGAGGGAAGGTGAGGAGCAGCCCCAGCCACGCTTCCTGAGACCCCAGCGGGGACCTCTGTCCTCCACGGGGGCTGCAGCCTGTAGGAGCTCCTGGGTGCTGCTGGTGCACGGGCCGTGAGAGCTCGTCAGAAAGCAGGAAAGGCTGGAGGATCAAAAGTTTCACCCCGTATGTCGTCTGTATATATGATAATTAAATTTATAGGGTCTTATAAATAAATGAATCTGAGGCTGGAAAAATAAAAGGGAGGAAGAGGGAGGGAGGAATTAGAAAGAAATTGAAATGTACATGTACCAATCTCTTACATTGACTATAATCATTACATACTACCAACGTAGTAATAAAAGACAAAAAATTTTTCAGCTCAGTCTGGTCCCTACTTAGTGAGACCCTGTTTCAAAAATAACAATATTTTTTTTATTTTTTATTGAGTTTACTGGTACTATTTAAGTATACAGTACAGTTACATTCATCATTGGGATCTTGTACCTTTACATGACAGATCTTGGTTCTCATTTTTCCCTATACCCTGCCCTCCCTTCACCCCCTTCACCCTCCCCTATTAACAAAGACTTTGTTTCCATTTCTTCCCTTTTCTCATATTTTTTCTTTTCCCTTATTTCCTTTCCCCTACCTTTCCCACTTTCCCTACACCTTTAGCCCTTTTCTTCCCATCACATTGTCATCAAAAATAACAATATTTTTTTTATTTTTTATTGAGTTTACTGGTACTATTTAAGTATACAGTACAGTTACATTCATCATTGGGATCTTGTACCTTTACATGACAGATCTTGGTTCTCATTTTTCCCTATACCCTGCCCTCCCTTCACCCCCTTCACCCTCCCCTATTAACAAAGACTTTGTTTCCATTTCTTCCCTTTTCTCATATTTTTTCTTTTCCCTTATTTCCTTTCCCCTACCTTTCCCACTTTCCCTACACCTTTAGCCCTTTTCTTCCCATTTCACATTGTCAGTTATACAATTTGGGTCTTATTTACACTTTTAGTTTTTCACACCAGAGAAACTATTTGGTATTTACACATGTGTCTTATTTATTCAAAAATAAAAATAAATTTTAAAGGGCTGGAGGAGCAGCTCAGTGCAAAGATCCTGGGTTCAAGCTCCATCACCTTCAGGAGGGAAACAAGACTTGGAAAATAAAAGCCAAATGAAATGGGTAAGCTTTGGGATCAGAGGATGCATGTCCCAGACAAGAAGACTTAGGGACCAGACTGCCACATAAATCAGCTGCAGCCTACTCTTCATAGCTCCTGGGGGTGTCCTCTGTGGCTCCACATCCCAAACCCATCTCCTGTCTGTGTAGCTCAATGACTGTCATCCTGGGGGCCCACAACATCAAGGAACTTGAGAAGACCCAGCAGGTCATCCGTGTGAGAAAAGCCATCCCACACCCAGACTATGACCCTGACACCTTATCCCAGGACATCATGCTGCTGCAGGTAAGGTGCACCTCCCTGCTGCTCTTGCTCTCCTTGTGCAGGGCTGCCCCTTCCACTGGGCTGCTCTTTTCCTTCTCGCCATCATGGCCATCATGATACCCCAGCCCAGAAGGCAGAGGGCTTATGCCCTAGGCTGATATCAACTCCCTTGCTTATTCCCCATCAGCTGGAGATAGAGGCCAAGCTGACTAGAGCTGTGCAGCCCCTCAGACTGCTTGGGAACGTGACCCAGGTGAACCCCGGTGACAAATGCCTTGTGGCAGGCTGGGGGCAGATGTCCCCATCAGGCACTTCAGCAAGTAAACTGCAGGAGGTGGTGTTGACAGTGCAGAATGAACTAAAATGCAAATCAGCCTTCCGTGTTTATTCTGCTATCACTGAGATTTGTGTGGGGGACCCAAGGAACACAAAATCCTGTTTCAAGGTAAGGTTCTGACTGTCTTTGAAGACTGAGCCCAGGGAAAGAGGTAATTGGGTGCCCTGGAGTAGGACAGTGGCCATATCCCCAATGCCCTGAGTCCAGAGCTTGGACAGCCTGGGTTCCCCAGCATCCAGTCTTTAATTCAGTCCCTGGCTGCGTGGGTGGATCAGAAGTAGAAGGTGGGGAAGAATCAGCTAACCCAGTGCCCAGTGTAGTGTTACCACCGCAGTATCTCTAAGGACTTCAGAGAAAGGTTCGACCTGGTTAGAACAAGTAAAGTCAGGGTCAGACTAGAGTCCTGGTCTGAAGGAGTCAACCAGGCCTGCCCTGCCTGGATCTTATGCTCACAGCCCCCTTGACAGGTCACCCACCCTGAGGAGGTGAGAGGAGCAGGTCCGGGAAGTCAGCTCTATGCTTCTCCTCTCTGTCCACAGGGGGATTCTGGGAGTCCCCTCGTGTGTAACAACGTGGTCCAAGGCATTTTCTCTAGTGGAAAAGACGATGGAGTACCCCCAGGAGTCTTCGCAAAAGTCTCCTATTTCCTGCCCTGGATAAAGAGAACTATGAAGCACTTTTAATAGCAGGCATAAGATTGGCCTCCTCTGAACCTGAGCATCTCTTCTGAGGCACAAGAAAGAACCCCGCGGGCATGGGCTACAAGGATTCACGCTGATAATAAAAGGATCTCGAGAGTGAATGTGGTTGAAGTCCTATGTATTCATTGAACCCCTTTCAGTATGCAACTGCACGGCTCCCGGCAGCCCTCTGCTGGCCATTCTGGGTTTTGCTTCCTCTTTTCTCCAGCCCTCTGGCTTCCCTTACCTCCGTTCCATACAATTCCTCGTTGATTTCTCAAGCACTTTTTTTCAGTGCTCTGCTCTCCAGTATCGGCTTGCTCACTGCATAATGCAGAGTCTGCAGCTTTACTGAGGTGTCATCAGACTTGCAGTCCCACATCCTTAATACTTAGCTCTCCAAACACAAATTTCTTCCCATCTCTAAGCCAACCACTTTCACCAGACCCTCAACAGTTTGGCAGAGAATGGAGGAGGACAGTGAAAGGGGGGTAATTCCAGGGACCCAAGAGGCTGGAGACACTCAATTTTTCCTGTTTCCAGGGTCTCTCTTTCCAGTGGAGCAGCTTTCTCCCCCTTTCAGTGCTGTCTGCTGCTCGGGAGGCTGAGATGGCCCTCGGGCTCACCCATGTCCCATTCTCCTGCCCTGCCTTGGGCCAGCACTAAGCCCAGCGCACCTCCTCCCTCAATTCCTGGCCTTTCCACACCAAGCCCTGTCTCCACCAGAGTGCCCCAGTCACCAGCTCCTTTCTCTTCCAGCTTCTCGGATTTAAACCACCTTCCTCTCAACTCCTTACAGAATCCCAACTGTGTGTGCACTCACCTCTATCACTTGCCCCAGCCAGACCTGGAACTCTTTCCTCTTCTACCTGGGCCAGGTTGGCTGAGAACCTGTTCCACCCCAGCATCCCTCAGGGGCTTAGGCATCACCTCCTACAGAGTCTCTGAAGCCTCAGCCCTTTCAGCCTGGCCTGGCCTTGGAGTCCCGGCTCCCCCTGCTGGCAGCCTTAGGTTTCCGCAATCTGTGATCCAGGTAGTACGGGGAAGCTGGGCGGATCATTTAGCCATCTGTCCTCAAACACCCTTTTGGTCTCTTTGTAGCAGACACACAATAGGCTCTGGTCTCACCTTTGGAGAAGCTTCTAATTATTCCTGGTTTCTCTCCTTCCACCAAGGCAGATCAATTTAACCCAGATATTTGGAATCCACTAGAACTCTTATTTTGAAAAAAAAAATTAAATTCTTTGTGTTCTGTCTTGGTTGTCCATAACAGTGTCACGTGCATGCTACTTTTGGTCCAAGAAGAGCAGCAGCATGTGATACTGTAAAAGACTTGGAAATCATGTCCTGAGATAGCCAATGTGTGCTCGCTGGAGTTTGACTCCAGAGGTGCTGGAGGGAACAAGAGGCAACTCAGGGAGGCTGAACCTCAATCCACAAACCTCCAAAATGCTACAGTTCAGATTGAGACAGTTGTGACCAAAACCACCTTATTTAGGATCCCATATCCCTCAAACAGTGCTAATGGTTAGTTATATGTGACACAGCGCGGTAAACTCACAATGACCACCCTGAATCAAGTGAGACCAGCATCAAAAAGACATCCTGAATAGGACTCTAATATCTCAGGAAATAATAGAAAGAATTGAAAAATAAGATTGCATCCAATTAAAAAGCTTCTGCACAAGAAAGAGAACAACAGAGTGAAAGGTAACAGCCCATGGAATGGGAGAAAAATTTGGTCAGCTAGTCTTCTGACAGAGGATTAATATTCAAATATATAAAGACTCAAAAACCTTAATGCCAAAAAAGGAAACAACCCAATTGGTAAGTGGGCAAGTGAATCGAACAGATTCTTCTCCAAAAAAGTACAAACAATCAATGAATACATAAAAAATGTTCAACATCTTTAGGCATCAGAGAACTAAAACTCAAAATTACAGTAAGATTCCATCTAACCCCAGTTGTAATAATTATCATCAAGAATAACAAAACAATACATGCTAGTAAGGAAGAGGGGGAAGAGGACCTCATACACTGTTGGTAAGAGTGTAGATTAGTACTGACACGGTGAAAATACATATAGTACTTCCTCAAAAACTAAAAACTACACTATACTGTAAAGGTACTATAGATCCAGCAAACTCTGGAGATCCCCGTATACCTGTTTATCGCAATACAGTTCACAACAGGTAAGCCATAAAAACAGTCTTGATAACCCCATCCACTGATGAATGGGTAAGTAAAACGCGATGCACATACACAGTGGAGTACTGTTCAGCAGAATACAAAAAGAAATCATTTCATGGAACTGGAGATCATCATGTTAAGCAAAACAGGTCAGAATCTGAATGACAAATATAATACGTCTTCTGTCACATGTGGAATCTAACCAAGATTACCTGAACCCAGAAGAGACACTATTGAAGAAGGAGGGAAAGGGGGAAGGGGAGTTAGTGGAGGAGGGCAGATGATCCAATTATATTCATTTTCAGTATAATGCATACAATAATAAAAAAGAAAAAATTATTATATGAATCTCTGTTAACAGTGGCCAGTTGCATGGTGGGATTAAAGGTGACATGTTTCTTCTTTGATTTTTAATTTATTCTATATTCTTAATTTACAATGACTAAAACTATTTTCTTAAATATTTGGTCAAAAAGATGCCTTAAGTAAGTTAATACATGTTACAATAACCCTGCCTACCATCACAGATAAATTTTCACAGATAAACTTTAACCCAGTGGTTTATTTGTTCCTCACCCATAGTCTAATGTGAGTGTTGAGTAGTTGTCCCCTTTTACTCTCCATTATCCTGCTTTGAGCAATACATTACCCAATCACCCATGACTAAGGGACCCGTGGTCAGTCCCCAAAAGATGGGTTCCCAGTCTCTCAAATGTATTTGCTATAAAGTTTGTTGGGAGGAGAGGGCCTGAATGACCAGGCATGGGCAAACGTGATGGCTCAGGTCTGGAAGACCCCCACAACGGTCTCTACTCACATCCCACTTGCTACAATAGTCACACATTGGGCCTAACCTCACAGCGGGGCTGGACAGTGCAGACGTGTAGTTCACCCGAGTCCCCTTGGAAGAAAAGGAAGTTGTTCTGCTAAACTGCTAGCTTTTCTCTATCACAGTGGTCATAGTATTTGCTGTTTAGAAAGATCATGGGCCCTACATTTTTATTCTTATAAAATGAACACATTGGTATTACAGAAAATATTAGATATTAAGGAGGTAAAAATAAGACTCACATAAAACTGTTCTTTTAGATGGTACCCTTCTTCCTCCACAAAATTTCTATCAATTTGTGTACATAGTTTTGCAGTGTGCATTTTCCACTTAACATTAGAGGATACAAATTTCTCCATGTCACTAAGTAGTCTTCTGAAGCATTTTTAGTGGCCAGGGAGCACATCATCCTACAAATGTATGATCTCATCATCTCTATTTCTCTCCTCCCATTTTTGAGCATTTGGATTATCTGAGCATTTTGGCAAGAGGATGTCAGGATGATGTCTAGTTCATTCTCTTTCTTATGCTGGTCTAGGGTCCCAGGATCAGTTGCACAGTCTTACCGGCCAGCATTGTTGCCAGGGAACACTGGGGACCTTGAATCTTTTTTCAAATCATCCTGTGCCACAAACCAGAGCTTCCAGGGTACCTCTTCCCTTCTAATTACCCCGTTAGAAGGTTTTATGCAAACCCCAGGAAATCTGCTATTGCAAATCATGTACTTCATGACCCCCCAGGGGTTCAGGCTTTCCTTTGCCAACTGCTCTTTCCTACACAGAGAACAACACAGGTCAGCTCTCAGAAAATATCTGGCTCCCTGCAGACTGTGGTGGAAAGAAGGTGTCTCTGACACAGCCTTCTCCCAGCACTGACACTTAATCAGATAACCACAGGGTCACCAGCAGAAACTGCCCTGGGAGCTTCCCAATTGTTCAGATGTCCTCCAAAGAGTCACATGAAGGAGCCATGCGTCTCTGGAGTGCCTCTGGAGAACCCTGGTCTCGTACCAAACCTAGAGGAACTAGAGGGACACTGGGTGTGGGACTCAGCAACAGTGGGCAACTGTCTGCCCAGAGGACTTGCATCGTTGGCAGCTTACAGGGCCCTGGGAGGAGATGGGAAACACCCACCCTAATGTCCCCACATCCCAGAGGAGAAAAAAACTGTAACTGACGGAAATGTAAAAAAGGGTCAAAAAAATAGATGTAACCAGTTATGGATATTGTGTAACATATCAGTCTTACTTGTTCAAATATTGCAATTTTTTATTACAGTAGAAAATGAAAACATTTAAAAAGTGCTCTCATACATTCCCTTCTCCACCAAAATGTTCTCTCTGACCTCTGTCCTGTAACAAAGAGGCTTGTTGAAAAACATATTGCAAGATATACACACATAAAAGGTCCACATAACATAAATTTACAGTTTAATGAATAATTCTGAGGCAAGTACTATATTTTATGTTAAAAAATGGAGCGTGCTCAATGCTCCAGGTGTCCTCTGTGAATGTCCTACTGGTCAAAATACCCTCTTTGTCCTCCATTTCCAGGCTTTACTATATTCTGTCTTGTGGTAACCATTTTTTTATTTTATCTTTTACTTTTCTCATGTACATATGAATTTATATCCAACAGTTTGTGCAGATAAAATTGTACTGAGTGTAGTCTTCTTGGATTCTTTCTAATATATTTGTGAGATTAACTTATGTATCTCCATGAAACAAATAGTCAATTTATTGTCATAGTTGTGAGTATTCCATTCCATTAAAGTACTACAATTTGCACTCATGCTGCTGTCAGGAGGCCTTCCAGACGTTCCCAGGATGAGGCTATCGTGAATAATGTTGCTATGACATTTTTGGACACATATCTAGTGGAAATGTGTGAGTTTCTCCAGGGAATATACACGGTAGAAGTGGGTGGTGGAACTGTTATTTTATTGTGCTTTAACTTGCTACTTCTCTGGCACATGGTAAGAGCAACACCTTTTCATAGTTTTCTTTTTTGAGATAGGACTATTAAAGCCTTTGACCATTATTATATTGCATCTGTTACCTTTTTGTAATGATTTACAGAAGTTCTCTATATAATTTGAGTTCAAGTTATTTGTTGGTTATGTATGTTACAAGTCTTTACTTGCTCTATGAATTGTCTTGGTTTCTCTCAATTTTAAGGTATCAAGTTTGTTGATTCTTTTTTTTATCATGAGTACACAGGATCTAACATCATTACCTGTCATGAAGATGTTGTCACGTTATATTTTCAAATCCTTATTCATGTTTGGATTCATAACTTACCTAGAATGGGGTTTTGGATGTACTATGAGATAAGGCCACGTTTGTTTTTGTTT